ATTTCGTTGAAGTACAAGAAGAAACGTTGTTAAAGATACTTAAGAATAACGCTGATACGGAATATGGAGTAAAATACAAGTTTCGTGACATAGACGACAAAATGAAATACATCGCGATACATCCATTGACAAGATACGCTCACTACGAGCGTTATGTAGGTAAGTAAGGTTACACTTAAACCATGATTCAGATGTTCTAAATTTAATTTCGTAAAGAACCTTTGAATATACCTATAGTGCAATTTGTTTATTGGATCGCTCTTCCCATTTTGAACAAATGCCACAAAAGGACGGACCATGTGGGGGGGGGAGCAAAGGAGTGGGCAATTTTCTGGGGGTATGAAATTTATTTTTCCCCTGAACTTTTTTGGTGGGTATTAGCTTGTGCAAGAACGTTTTTTAAAGTCAAACATAGGGCTTACATAGTAGAAAGCACAGTTTTTCAGCTGTTTTTGCTGTGTGGGAATTTTTTTTGGAAACTGCCCAACCTCCCCCNTTTTCTGGGGGTATGAAATTTATTTTTCCCCTTAAGGTTGTGCATGAACTTTTTTGGTGGGTATTAGCTTGTGCAAGAGCGTTTTTTAAAGTCAAACATAGGGCTTACATAGTAGATTTTGCTGTGTGAGAATTTTTTTTGGAAATTGCCCAACCTCCCCCTCCCTCAAAAGAATTAATGATCTGTCTCTAAAAAAAGGCAGCTGAATAACGGCCTCAGCTTTTGCTGGAGGGGCTGGAGTGTGGGGGGGAAAGTGATTCTTAGATTCTTTGTTGGAAGTGTGCTGCCTGACTCCCCGTACCCTAAGCCTCTTTCAGACCAAAGTACGTCATTTTCCTCATTGTTTACAGGCTTGGCCATTTGCACTTGAAGGTGGTAAAAGCTACATGGTGGTACAGTTTCGGGTGAGGGGTTGGGAGTGGGGTGGGCATTATCCTGTGAATGGGGCATCGATTAAGGGAAGCTCATCTGCTTAATTTGGTAGCTTTAAGGGTGCTGAAAACCAACCTTGTTCACAGGAAAATGAGATTAGTTCGGGACAGAACATCAATGTCTTTTACAAGTTGCATTGTAAGGAACAAGAATACACATGCTGTCTGGCTGTATTCTTGGTTTGAATAGGTTTTCCATGAATTATCTTACCTTTTTTCACAAGTGGAAGAATTTGATGGTCTTGTTATTAGTTATCACTTAACTCTCATTTGTGTGTCTGGTTTAGATTTGTATCTTTAAGGGATCAAATAAAAATTGAGTGAAGCCCAGATTGGTTTCCTGTAGGGGTTTAATTCAATTTTTCCAACAAGCATACCAAGCCCCATTCACAGACCCCTCAGGGCAATATCTCGGGGACATATAAGTTGATTAATTGATCGATCGAGCGATTGATTGATTGATTGATTGACTGATAGGCTGACTGGCCAATTGACCAATTGATTGGCAATTGGCATTCATTACGATGAGAGCTGCTATCTGACAACGACACACTAACTGATCACTGTTTCATCTAGCCTCTTAGTTAGTTAAAGGGTGAAAAGAAAGTAGTGAACCAAGCAATTCTCCATGACCAAGCTTTGCTTGCCCTGCTTGTCAATTTATTTCTTATTTTATACCCCATAAGGAAGTCTTTTTACAGGCTACCCTTCATCTCCAGGTAGCACATAATTATATCATTAATGAATTTGTTGAGTGACTGTTGTTGCCACACTGTTTTTGTAGAGCAGATCTCTTGTGGCAAGAAGAATGTCCTAACTGTGAAGGATCCATACCAGTTGGGTGTCACTTCTGGAACGTCTGGCAAGAGTAGTCTGCTTCCCACCACTAGTGATGTTGGTAAAATATTTTTCACCAATGGAGTTCTTGTTGGCATCAGTGCCATGTTTGATGCATATCCTGGGGTAAAAGAAACATATTTATCTCTGTCCTAACTAAACTAAATACAGTTGAACCTCCCGTAAGCGACCAACAAAATGTCAAACCTGGATGGTCGCTTATGGGAAGTGGTCAATTCCAAGAGCTTAGACCATAATGGGTCAAAAAATTTTCTTCATTAGAATATGGTAACTGCCAAGACTTAACCCATGCGTCAATGCCAATGCAATGTTTTATTCATGTAAAAGTCAATTTTGAAAAAAAAGTCAGTTCTTCCCATTGAGAAATAATTTTCCATTTCTTGACCTTGTCAGGAATACAATAATGTTACAACACCTAATTATCCATTTTTCGCTCCATTATCTGTCAAGTGGTCACTTACGGGAGGTTAAATACAAAGGAAAATTTCAAACTTTTAGCTCTAAAAGTGGTCGCGGTCGCTTACAAGAGGTTCCAAATATAGTGATTTGACTTTGAAACTTTTGGTATTTTGAAAAACTGGTTGCTGAGGAGAGGTGGTCGCAACCGGAGGCTCGACTATATGTGACAATTGTTTTTTTTTTCCTCCTGTGCAAATTAAAGAGACCTAAACATTCTGGTAAAAAAGGATGATGTGACTTTGTCCCTCCCCCCCTCTCTCTTTTTTTGTGCTGCCTTTTCTCTCTCTTCCACCCTCATCAATCCGTTTTCCCCCCTTCTCACCCTCTCTCAACCCACCCCCTACCCAAAGTCTTCAAGGTGCACATAAAAGTCCCACATGTTAAGGCTGGTTTTCACTAGCAATGGAGTCGGAGTCGGAGTCGGAGTCAGAGTCATAGTTGGAGTCATAAGAGCGCTTATAACATAGTGAAAATCGAAAATCGGAGTCGTAAGCGGAGTCATAAGTTCAATGGAATTAGAGTCAGAAGAATCGGAATGTTTCCATTTCTTCCGATTCCGTTTACGAATCCGTTGTTTATGATCCAGTGAAAACTACATTGTCAGAGTCAAGAACTAAGCAATCATGAGGCCCGGAAACGGTTTATTCTTCCACTTCTGCTTCCAACTCTGACAATCTAGTTTTCACTGGATCGTAAGCGACAGAGTCGTAGGTGGATGCGGTGTTCTGCTTCCGACTCCGTCAGTTTAATTTTCACTAGATCGTATCACTCCAAGCTTCTGATTACGACTCTGACTACAACTCCGTTGCTAGTGAAAACCAGCCTTTATAGTCTACAAGACATGTTGGTTGATTTAGAGGGCCAAGGGGACCACTGACTCTTCCCAAAAGTGTTACAAGATGCAATAAGTAGCATATCAGAGTACCAAGATTCTTGCACATTCTTTGGTTTAATCATACCTATTGTGCAAAGATGTGCTCTCACTGCAACTGATTTATTACTTCACCCTATCCCTCTGCCAATGAGACAAGTTCTGAACATTGATATTTTCAAGGTCACTGGTTGGCCAAATATTTCGATTTCTACCAAAATAATCTTTTCTGATTTTTTTTCCATACAGTCTTACCAGCTACAGAAGAGCTTGAAGTTTTTTTACTCTCCAAAATGGAGCTACACAGAATCAGGCCTACCGATTGGTCCAAACTCATCTTCACCCAGTAACTCGCAGCGAATCCTTCACCTCTACACAACTCCTAAAGCAGGCTTTGACATCATGACAGAACCCGAGGCCTTGTATATTCACTTGCTCTTTGCCTTGAAGGATCGCAATCTTGGCATTTTAGAAGCAAACTTTGCACAGCTTGTGTATTCAGGACTCCTTGCGCTTGAAGCTCAGTGGAAGTTGTTGGTGGATGATATTGAACATGGTAGAGTGAATCCTGGCTTGGAGATTGAAGATGAAGTTAGAAGGTTAGTGGGATTAATAAGTGAGATAGGCGCAGATGAAGGGCAGATTGCATTTATTTTGTCATGACAAAGAATGTGGTAGACAAAAAATGGTGTTTACTGCCTGGGAGGGAGTACTTTCATAAATTTTGGTTAGGTGTGTCCCATGATGGGTCTTAAATCCTGTCCCTATTTAAGGATGAAGGAAATAAAAATTGATACCCCATTTAAGGCTGAAACCCGAAAAATGACAGCCTATTCAAGAGAGAAACTTAAAAAATAGGGTNGTATACCTATTTATCCTAAATTGCATTGCTAGCTGAACAGTTCAGTTTTGTAGTGGTCGCTGACACCATTTTGTGTAACGCTAAAACGAGCATTTACAATGTAAACTATATAATTTTACTTAGATTATTGTAATTCGACTGGATGATATAGATGTTTCAACTTCTTCAGTTGGGACAAAAGCTGTTTCAATGAATCTATTTCTTCTCTGCAGACTCTTTTTGCTGAAAACACTGAAGTTGGCAAACTTTATGAGCTCGTGGTTACAAATCATAGTGGATTGTATCGCTACAGAATGGGAGACGTGGTAAAGATTGCTCGTTTTCACAACAGTTGCCCTGTCGTGGAGTTCCAGTATCGTCAAGGACAAATTCTCAATGTACGGGCGGAGAAGACATCAGAGAGAGTCTTCTACGACGCGCTGACGTCCGTACTGAGTGGCGAGGGACAGCGGTTTCAAATGGTGGACTACACATGCGCAGAAAGCGTCATGGTTGGTGGTCAGAGTCAAGGTGATGACGTCAGGGGTGCGGCGCCATATTACGCTGTGTTTATAGAGCTGAGTGACGTGCTAGAAGAAGAGGAGAGGAAGAATCTAGAACTTAAGGTAGGATTCAGTGATATTGTTAGATCAGTTGGCGCCCTTGAGGCTATCATCTGTGCATTGAAAGAGTTTGGCAGGGTTAGGGTTAATCTGAGCGAAGGATGTCCGCCAGGGACTGATTAGGTAGGGATGGGGGAGAAGTGAAAGATTTATACCCCTATTAGTAACTAAGCTCCGTTCGGAAAGCTTACTTGCGGGCTACGGAAGGATCAAAGAAAACAAA